CACTCGTATCCGAAACTCTACGTAACTATTCACCGGTAGTTAGACTTGAGAGGGAAGCCATGGAAGACGTAATGTTAGGCAACACTGGAGTTAAGGTCGAGAAGGGAATGTCCGTCGAAATTCCTGTATATGCCATACATCACGACCCCGACCACTATCCGGATCCATTTACCTTCAGCCCGGATAGGTTTATGCCCGAAAACAGGGGTCATATGAAAGCCTACACTTACCTGCCTTTCGGATCGGGTCCACGAAATTGCATTGGAATGCGATTCGCGTTATTGGAGGCGAAGCTCGCGTTAGCTGTGATCTCACATTCGTTCCGCTTCTCCAGAGTCACCGACACTGACGTCCCCGTAGTCTTCAATAAGGCTCAGCCGCCTTTCTGTCAGGCGAAGCGACTTGTAGTGGGCATTGAGAAGCGATAAGCTATGGTTTTACACAAACATATTTATACATGATTTTTACTGCTAACTACATAATACAGTTAAAGTAAACTACGAATATAGTTAAAGTATGTTTATTATGTTTATTGCATTATATGTATGTTTAGTATGTTTATTAAAGTTATAAAATATTTTTTGTCTATCTCTGCAATTATTTTGAGACTTTTAAAATTTTACAAATATTTCATTTAGTAAGGTGACCAATATATCTAACTTATATATAAATTATAATTAGATTAAATTTAATTTAGCATCATAATTGCATTTGGATTTTCATAATTGCCTAAAATAGCGTTTAATCTTATTTTGATAGTATTATAATAAATTGACAAATTTTTAATTAAAAAACTTACCATTGTCAATCATTCAGAAGCCTATTCAACAGAAAATATTTTATATTTTATATTTCTGGTATTTATTGTATTAAATCACTGATAGTCAATTAGTCATTTCAATGTAGAAAAAAAGGTTTCGATATTTCCAGAAATTGTTGACAGTATTTCGGGATTATAGGAAATTCCGCGGAAAGTTAAAATATGGCAAAATTCATAAATTAAAACAAGTTCTCTGAATTTTAAACCAAAATTTTGCCCAGACTTCCAAAATCTTACGTATTATTTATGACAGCTTATATTTATAAATAATTATAATAATTAGTTAAATTTTACACAAATATTCGATTATATGTATTTAAAAGTTTTAAATTAATATTATGAAGAAAATAATGTATAAAATTTGTAAATATTATATTTAAATACATTAATTAACTATATTTAACTAAAATATATTTAATTATACTATTCCCGGAATTCCCTTTAATCCCGAAACTAATTATTATAATTATTTATAAATATAAGCTGTCATAAATAATACGTAAGATTTTGGAAGTCTGGGCAAAATTTTGGTTTAAAATTCAGAGAACTTGTTTTAATTTATGAATTTTGCCATATTT